CGGCAGTGCTTTCTGGGCAAAATGTTGATCTTCGCGCCTGTGTCTAACTGGAATCGCACAGACCGTCCCTCGATCAGAAGACTTGCATAGACACACTTCTGCGACGCTTTCCGAGACAAGTTACCAATCGATTGTTCGGTGTCTTCTGTTGATATGTCTGGAATGAGTGCACTGACATCTGTCGACTGACAGCAGCGGGCGAAGTGATTGCGCTTCCCACATTTGACACAAATGCGGCCCCACGCCGGACACTGTTCGCGGTTCCTCGGATGTCGTGTTGCACAGAAGTTGCAGGGCTCCTGTCGCGCGGTCGTGGCCCCAATAGGTTTGCTCCTGGAAACGGCGCACAACTCTGAATCACCTGTGATTGTCATCTGCTGGGACTGATAAGCAGTGGAGGACTCACTGTTACAGATGTCGATTCATTGCTGCAGAGATAGGTTGCGCTTTCGTAATAGTCGCTTCGGTAAACCTTCGTCATTGATCCCAAGAACAATGCGGTCCCGTATGAAACTGTCCGCCAGGCATTTACAGAAACTGCAGGATCGGGCCTAAATCTTTAGCTCAGTGACGTACGTGTCAACGGATTCACCTGACCGCCTGTTCCGCGAAAATAAGAGGTAGCGTTGAAATATCTCGTTTGTTTGGCCTTCGCAGTATTCACTGAACTTCTCAAGAACTGTCTCCAGATTGTTGGCATCTTCGCTCTTGTCGTAACACAATGTCTCTAGCACGTGGCGCGCATCATCTCCTGCTGCGTGTCGAAACATGCCCAAGCGGTACGCCATCGGTTGTTTGTCCAGACGCGATAAAATGCAGAAATCCATCCATTTGCTCTTCCACAAACGCCAGTTGCTTGCCAAACTGCGTTCATCCATGTTCAACGGGGCAGGCATTTGCATAGCCTGTACAGCTCCAATCATCGTCTGGGTGGTACTAATGTTCTTCTCCTTCGCTGACACCATGTGAAAAGTCGGTCCTTCAGGGACAAAACGTATATTCTGCAAACAAAAGGACCAGGCGAAAACGCAGGCAGAGCGCGAGTGAAACATATCGGTATATACAGCTAGTTGGATCCATAATTAACGACCTTGTGAATGCATGACGTTTTTCCTTCGATTCAGTCAAACATGCTCACTCCAATGCGTCCAACTGTTGGCCAATCAGCGTGCATGTGAACGTCCAATCAGCTGCCGCCTTTCCTTGCGGCAGTCTAACGGCTTCCTTGCTGGGCTGGCACCGCACGTTCGTTCGAGTGTATGCTCCCATCACATGTTGTTGACTGAGCTTCAGGCTATTGCCTGTAAGGTTGATGCTCGGGTTGAGTTACAGTAGGTGGCGACAAGTGTAAGGGGGTCGTTCCGTATCTAGTAGACTAATGTGAGTCTTCCACGTAGTAACCTGCAGCATCTACTTAGCACTCCAAGTGTTTTAGTCGCTGCTGGTACGAAAAGTTGCTCCATCTCTTGACACATTTTGTTGCTCGGCCGTGATGAGTTACGAGCGCTGCGAGGTCACGCTTTAGCCAAGGTTGTCAAGCCTGGATTGTGTATTGCACGTTGTAATGCCCGTGGGCCTGGAGCATCATAGTGAAGATGAATGAATCCAAACTTTCGAATGCCATCCGCAAGCTAACAACGTGCTGGTTAGCACTTTTGAAACGGATCCCGACTGTCTGTATTAACCGACGTCGTCCTGCTCCAGCACACCTAGGTCAGGTTCCTGAGGGCTTCTGTGCAGGTCGTGTGCGCCGATTTTGTAGAGGTAGGCGTATCTATAGCGGATGTAGACAACGTGTAACTTGACCACATTGAATGACAGTAAATTCCTTACCGGTAATCACCAGGTCCCACCTAGGTCGCACATAGAGGATCTTGAGGTCGTCCATTTCCTTAATCGCCGGCCAACTTTTGACGTCATCCGCAAAAAGTAAACTTGTTGAGGTGACGGCACTCCCAAGATCGTCGCACTCCACTCAATTAGGGTCGGGCAGATGTTCGGATTCTAATAGTAAACTGCTGTTCACGGAGAAATTTAACAACCCATCCGAATAATGCATCCCCGATGCTTTCCAGGTAGCCCGTCAGTACCTCAGCAATGATCGCTTCCATGACTTTGGAAAGCGCCAAAGAGTAGTTCTACCGGGCGATAATTAGTAGGATCAGAAGGGCTTCTCTGAAGAAATCAGGCAGGTGTCTGGGATAGGTGAATGGCTGCTGCCTGCAGGGCATTTGGGTGAAGTTTATCTACTCCAGGAAAGCTGTGTGTATGAAAGGATAATGGCTTTTCCAGAGCCATTTATGCTTTGAATTTGATATTGGATAACACTGATGGTGTGTGGACAGAAGCTAGTATAAGGTTTGAGGATAGTACCCTTTGCAAAGTAGGCCAGTACTGGGTCCGTGAGGCGTTGTCCGCCTTCTTTGTTGTGTGGGTATGTCCACCAGTAGTACTGAGTGGTGGGATGCCACGCTGCAATTTCCGAAGTGCATTCACGTGTCTATAAAGATGCTTGTGTTCCGAACGGAATCATTCCGCCAGCTATTTTTGGTGTGACAACTTGTTTTCCCGAACCAACTGTACATATTAATTGCTCATAACTACATACGCTGTCTCATTCTCCGCGAAAGGATTGTTTTGGTGGAGGTGCCACGTGTTCCCCCAAGGCCATAAACCTTCAAGTTTGGCTCCTCATGAATAATGTTGATTTCATGGGACGGTGGATGTTTTTTTCCGACGCTTCGGTGAATAGTGACGTAGTTTTCACCCGATGAGGTTGGCCAACACTGCAGTGTCGTGTGAAGCAATGGATAATCCTAATACCTGGCCACTGAGTCACTGGTTCTGTCTCCACTTAACTCAAAACGGCTTTAATCTCATCCTAGTATCTATTCCGAAGATGGACTCATGCCCGATATGCGTTCTGTGGTGCATTCTGAGATTAAAATACAGCCACATTTCCATATCCGATGACTCTAAACCAACTAATCGAAAGTGCCATTTACCTTAAAGCCAATCAAACTCGACTTGAGTCCACTGCAAGCAGTCTGTTGGGCAACTAAGTCAGTTAGCAGACAATGTTCATAGCACTAAACAAACGGTTAGCATTAAAGTTTTGCCAACGAATGTACGGATCATGACCGATAGACAAGCAAAATAAAGCATCTTAGAGTCCAGTGGTCATTTAGTATGCTTTATGACTGTGTGGGTTGTGCAAACATCGCATTGGGGCTTAAAGAATTTGCACCCTAATATAGTAGAAGAATTCACTGTAAATGCTGCCTTGGCACTTATAATTAAGGGCTAATATGAAGGGGAGTGAGAGTGAGGGCCGATAAAATGGATGCAGTACCGAAGGAATGGGAGCCAATAAAAAGAGCGTCAAGCACAAATGGTCTAGTGCAAAAGAAACACAGCTAAGCTAAAACTCGGAAATACGCAGCCTAGATTTCATAAGCCTAAGGGCTAGGGCAGCAAAACGAGTGCAGCATATACAAAAGCCTAATTCATCTACGTGGTTAATTTGGGAAAAGGATCACTCATATGAGTGAGAGGTATAGAGCACGAAATTGCCAACTGGCCAATAATAGATCATCTCAAGCGACCTCAGTAAGTCACATGGGTGTAGAACGACCGTATGCATGCATGTGAGCACATGTGTACTTGCCACTGTCGTCCATCGTGAAAACGCTGGATCAGGCGCGGATGGTTTAGTTGGAGTCAGCCTACGGCACGCCACAAGGCAAGTTCACCGAGCGATACGTACAGGGATGGAACAGAGACAGGCGTGCAAAATCGAAACCGCAGTGCTTCATTATCTGGCTACTGCGGTAGAATTTTGCTGGCGCTTGGACAGGCGTGACTGGCCTGAACAAGGAGTGTGCAATAGGTGCTTAATGTTCTTCCAGCTAATGACAAAAGAGTTATTGGCAACGCACTTTTAGACTGAAAGTTACCTTACAACAATCCACCTTAGCAAAATATGCATTTGTTACAAGTAGGCCTTGCAAATATGAAATGTGAGGTTTGCGAAATGAGTTTTGAAGTGCCATGCCGCCTAAAGACTACTCGCTGCCGCACAGTCTATTCGCCCTTCACAGTATTGATCGCCGTTGTAGGAAATAAGTGTGGTTATGCTACCCACTTTGTTTCAGGCGGGACCGTGAGCGTTCATTCCAACATATTCATTGATGAGGCAATATTTCATTAGCACGGAACTGAGAAGCTGTAGTTCAAGGCAATATCTAATCCTCGCAGATACAGACAATCACTTATTGCACAAAGCGAGAAAGCTCATTGGCTCAAAAAATGAATACCAACTCGTGTGACCACAGCACACGCATGTGAGTTCTCACGCCTACTGTGCACCACAAGCCCGTTATCCCTGTGTTCACTTTTCTGACACACTGTGCTGCAAGCTCCGAATCTCAGATTCAAATGGATCGGTAAGCCACGCTTTCACGATCTGTATTCTTATTGAAAAGTTGTTGGACTATCTTTCTTTCCCCTTAGTGTGACCTGCGTGTTATCGTTTGGAAGGACTCATCCCACACCAGAATCTGTACGCCGATGAAAAGGATGCACATACAAAACCGCCTAGCCTATACTCTTCTAAATGGGGCTGGACCTTACCGTGGTGCGATGATTTGCGTTCCTCACATATTCATTGAGATATACTAGGTGGTGCCTTCTGCACATTCGGAGCCACTCATACCAGATTGGTCATGTTAGATCTTCCCTTTTTTGCTATTCCGAATTAACCACCCAGAAATTTCTCCGCAGCAATTCTAGCCCAGCCGAAGAAAAATCAAAATTCCAACAGCCTTGACCACGAAAAACGTGTTAACAAAAACTCTGCCAACGTAGCCAGAAAATGCCGCCGAAAACACTGTCCTCTCAACTCTGAGGCAAAAGTCCAATTAGCCGGGTGTTTGAAAACGCATTCGTCCGCTCGATCGATTGCCTGATCGACCGCACGGGGTAGGCGATTCTCTTTAGCCCAGCTTTCAGTCACCATTATATACTTTCCCTTTTTTCTTTTATGTTTTTATCTGATTCCCGGATACCTCCCCTCCTGAAGCTGTTGCCGTTGTGTGTGAAGCTAGCCGGGGATTAACCTGGAGCCTCCTGGAAGGGATTCTTCGCCTACCGGTGCATCGCCTTGGCTGTAGTGTTCTGGATTCGTATTCCGTACTCTGCGGTCTGGTATTATTCGTCTGATGACAGGGTTCTTCTACTGGCTCTGTAGGCAAGTTGAAGCTGTCTGTCAACAGGTTAAATGGAAGCTTGGCGGATTCTATTGCTTGTGGCTGGCACATGTTGTTCGCAGTTGGTTTGCATGGCGTACCCATACCTGCGTTCCAACCAGCACGTCGTAAATGACGCTTCCGCGCTTGCACTGGATCGTTCCTGGCGTCCATTTTGCGTGTCCACCCCGATAATCACGCACAAGTACTGGCTGACCCGGTGTAAACGAACGTTGCTTGGCACCAAACCGCCGATTAAAATCACGTGCCATCTTTAGGTTCCTTTCACCAGCTATGGACTCTGAGGATGGCCGAACTGCATCATATGGCATGCGAAGTTTTCTCTTCATCATTGCCTTTGCTGGTGATATTCCACCCGGCGTTTGTGGATTTTGTGTAGATCGGTACAGAAATAGGAAGCGGTCGATCACCTCCTCTAGGTCTCCCTCCCTCCTTGATTTGAGGAGAGCGCGTTTGAATGTATCCACAAACCTCTCTGCTTGGCCATTCGATTGTGGGTGGAATGGTGGAGACCGCAAGTGTTTGATGGCGCAGCGTTGGCAGAATTCCATGAATGTGGCCGAAGTAAACTGTGCTCCATTGTCCGTCACCAATGGTATTGATGGTCGTCCAATGCGGCATTCAAGCCGGTCGAAAAATCGGCGCAGACTCGCACTTTACCGTTCGGCTTTTTCACAGCAACAATCGGCGTAGCCCATGAAGAGTAGTTCACTGGTGTGATGACACCGGCTCGTTCCAGTCGGTCGAGCTCCTGATGAACTGCTGTCATGGTTGCATACGGTACCGGTCTTTTTGCTCTAAAGACTGGCTTGGTTCCTTCACGAAGACACAACTTTGCTTTGAACTTAGTGCAGTGGCCGAGACCATCTTCAAACAAGGTGACAAACTGCTGCTTTAGCTTTCTGGTCATCTCTTCTATCGACAATGATGAATGTACTGGGTCGGTTTGTACTGTATTGCAAATCTGACTCATTGGAGCATCAACCAGTTGTAATTTTTCCATCCAGTCAAGTCCAAGGAGGTTCAAGTTTGGTCGATCAGACAAGTAGCAGGTTCCGGCCTTTTCCACTCCGTTGAATGCAATTTTGCAATTTATTTCTCCGACCAACTTCAGCACTCCACCGGATGCATTGTGAGCGATTTTGTTGGAATCAATCATTTTCGGCTTCTTTATGTGCTTCCAAGTGTTCTTGGAAATGATCGTTATATCTGATGCCGTATCGAACTGCAGCCGGGTTGGGATTCCGTTGATAAGCACAGTGATAAATCGGCGGCGTGTTCTAGAATGGCTGTGAAACGTAGCAATCACCGATAGTGCTTCTGCGTCAAGTTTTCTGAAATTCCTCCTTCGGTAGGACTGCTTCACATTTCTTGGCCGAGACTGATGGCAAAAGTCTTCCTTGTGGCCGCGTTTATGGCACTTATCACAAATATGACGCTTGAATGGACAGTATCGTGCGAAATGCCATTCACCACATGACCAACAAGGTGTAGGCGGCTTGTTCGGCTTTCTGTTAAACGACTTATTCGAGCCAGATTTTCTTGCTTTTTGCACAGCATGAACAGTACAGGCAATGGTGGGGCGACTCTGCTCAATCATAGCCGTGTCGTGTTTCAAGGTAATTAACCGTTTGCATTCGCCTACAAGAGACTTCAATGTCAACTCTGGATCTTGATCCAAATTAGCAAGGAGCCGAGTGCGGATTTCCGCATCGCGTGGAGAGTGTAAAGCACTGACAAATATAAGACACTTAAACTGGTCATCCGTCAAACAGCGTAATTTGAAACGTTCACATTCGCGCTTAACCATGTTTGCTAGTGCCCCATAATCGTCTGTAGCACGCTTTACAATTTTTAGACATTGATAGCGAATGCTAAACAATGATGTTGACTCACCAAAAATCTCTTTGAGTGTTGCCACTGCTTCGTTGAAAGTGATGTCCTTCGGCTCTTTGGGCAATATGTGGTCAAGGAATCTTGTATGTTCATTAGTTCCCAGCTTGCGGAGCAAAAGGCGCACTTTCCATGAATCATCTTGACGGCTGAAATCCGTCTGGAACATATCCTCCCAACGTTTGAACCACGCCTCGAAAGTGGATTCGGAATCAGCATCATAATGAAATTCAGTGATTGAATTCGTAAGAAGATCAAGTGAAACAGCCTGCGTGTCCCGTGTAGCTGCTCCGTTTGATTGTACGTTTAAGCACTGCGTTCCACTTTCAATCAGTTTCATTTGTGCTTCCATCTGGGATTGTTGTTGAAGAAGCAGCTTTTGAAAATGTTCGGCAGAAAAATTTGTAACATTTCCGTGTTTGTCCGTCGCCATTGTTAGATCTTCCCTTCTTCACTATTCCGAATTAACCACCCAGAAATTTCTCCGCAACAATTCTAGCCCAGCCGAAGAAAAATCAAAATTCCAACAGCCTTGACCACGAAAAACGTGTTAACAAAAACTCTGCCAACGTAGCCAGAAAATGCCGCCGAAAACACTGTCCTCTCAACTCTGAGGCAAAAGTCCAATTAGCCGGGTGTTTGAAAACGCATTCGTCCGCTCGATCGATTGCCTGATCGACCGCACGGGGTAGGCGATTCTCTTTAGCCCAGCTTTCAGTCACCATTATATACTTTCCCTTTTTTCTTTATGTTTTTATCTGATTCTCGGATAGGTCAATGGTTAGACGCCAGACAGACTCAGCCTCCTGGTCCTCCAGGTTGGGGGTTGGAATGAACGTGGCTGCTTATTTCATACTATGGGCTCGCTGTAGTCCAGTGCCAAAACCCGCTGCCTTACGGTTAGGTTTTTGAACCAAAAGCTTTGGTTGCGAACCCTAATCGTTCTGCTGTCTAGGCCTGAGCAACCTGACAGTATTCCGCCCAAGCAATACAATAAACCCTTCATCCAACAAATTCTTGATGCTCTAGCCGTCGCAGAGGATAATAAACGGTGCCCCATCTGCTGCATCCAGCAGGGTGAATAGGGGTATGGATGCTACTGCTCAGGCCTTCCCGTCTTCTCATACCCCTTCTTGCTCTTCTTCATCCTTATCGCCCTGCTCCAACTTCACTTTTATCCCCAAATTTCGAACCCCAATTCTTGGCCCTCCCCCACCTTGCTTCAACTATCGCTTGTCTTTTAGTTTCAACTCACACACAGCCGCAGGGCGTCGCTCCAATCCAGTCTACAAGTCCACGTTCAACCATGTGGAAAACGTCAGTTCATCCGTTTCCCTTTGGAGTCCTCGCGTTTCGCTAAGACTGGCATGCCACAACCTGCGCACATTTCTACAGATTGGTCAACAGGCACCCCTTGCCCGCACACTAGAGACCCTATCGATAGGTATTTGCTGTTTATCAGAAACCCGCCTGCAAGGTTCGAGCTCCATGGTTACATTGCGATCCCCACATTAGACACTGGCGTCACATTCTCACTGCGCCTGTCTGGCGATAATGCAGCTTCCAAAGTCGGTCAAGCTGGCGTCGGCATTGTTTTGAGTCCCCGGACTGAAACTGCCTTGATTGATTGGATCCCAGTCAACAGTCGGATCTGCGTCAGTAGATTAGTTGGTTCGTTCCGTGGTACGATGTCCCGCGGGGACAAACGCTGCCTGTTTGTCATTGCAGCCTACACACCTACAAACTGTAGTACTTATGCCGGCAAAAGATGCTTTCTATCAGCAACTTCATGAGCTCCTTCGTTACAGAAGAAGCACGGATACTGTGGTCTTGGCTGGCGATCTAAACGCTCAAGTCGGAAAATTGCCCTCGGATGAGCATCATCTGGGCGGCCAACACGGTGTAGACTCCCGTAATGATACTGGTGAGCGATTACTGCAGCTATGTGAAGACCCTCGTCCGTTTCTCGCGAGCACAAACTTTCGACACAGCACCCGCAGAAGCGTGACTTGGCGGCCACTAGCCTCATGCCAGCCACGTACGCAAATCGAGCATTCCGTCATCAGCTACCGATAGAGAGGCTGTGTCCAAAACTGTCGCTCGATTTGGAGCACAAGTGTGGACTCTGACCACGCAGTTGTCTGCGCCGACCTCCGGATGCGTTTCGGTAGACGTCCGCAACGTCGATTTGAAAGGATTGACACCAGCCAACTGGCGAAGCCAGATGTTCTGAATGTGTACCAAAGTGGGCTGACATCTGGGCTGATTAAGCGCCCACTAAACACCGTCGAAGATCACTGGTCGCATATTCGTCAAGCGTTGCTGTTAGCAGGTATGTCTTCATGTGGCAAAGCAAATTGCCAAACCGGACATTGGGTCTCTACACAGTCTCTGGAACTTATGTATGCTTGCCGACGTATTCCGGCTGGAAGCGAATACAATTAGGCTCGCAAAAGTCTCAGGGCAAAGCTGTGTGCTAGCCTGAAGAAGGACCGCGAAACCTGGTGGCCTGATCGTGCCTCTGAGATCGAAGGCGCCGCTGCCGTTGGCAGTCATCGTAAGTTATTCCGTCTGATACGGGAAACAGGCAGCAGGAAACCTGTCGTTAGCGAGACCATATTTGACGTGAGTGGGAAGCCGATTCACAGTCTGTCAAGACGCTGGAGCGTTTGGCTGAACACTTTGCAAGGCAATTTAACCAACCTGGGTTATCGCCTTCTTCTTCTTCTTCTTCAGGCATTGAGAGCCCTTCTCCCTGGGCCGTCTCATTGGATCCGCCTTCACGCGCAGAAGTCGAAAGTGAGATCAGGCTGTTGAAATTGCTTAAGGCCGCAGGGGCAGATAGAATTCCCCCAGCCCTCTTAAAATTCAAGGGATCTGCAATAATAGACGGTTTACACGAGTTGCTAGTAAAACTTTGGAAGCAGGAGGCAGTCCCGACAGACCGGAACCGCTCCGTCATTGTCCCAATTTTCAAGGGAAACTCTCATTTGGAATGCGGCAATCATAAAGAGCTCATTCTGGTTTCGATTGCCTATGAATTGCTTGCCTCTGTCATTCTCCACAGACTGACTGGCACTCGTGAAAGCCAGATTCGTTAATAGTAAACTGGATTTCGTCGAGGGCGGGGCTGAATCGACCACATCTCCTTGCGTTAAGTGTTGGAGCACCGCCATGTTTATTGGCGACCCACCATTGTCGTGTTTCTTGACATAAAAAGTGTCTTTGGACTCGGTCGATCGACGTGCACTTTAGGACGGTCTGCTGAGAAAAGGTGCGCCCGATAAGTATGTAAACATTATCAAAGCTTTGTATGCGCACAGTTCGGCCAGATTGAGGGTTTATGGCAAACTATCGCCACCCTTCAGTATCACCATCGGTGTGAGAACTGAGAACTGAGAACTGGTGCGAAGCAGCGAGTAGAGGTTGCTCTGTGTAGCTGCATCATTCGTCGTTTTCGGACATAAACTTTTTATTTATCGTTTCGCTCTCTGTACTTTGCCTCTGCAAATTGTTTGTCTAGTACCATCTTGAATTTAGACACTGTGTTGGCTTCTACTATATGCTGAGGCAGGTCGTTCCAGACATTCACCACTCTGCGTTCGAAACAGAGTTAACGGGCAACCCGCTTCAAATCCGGGACGATAAGTTTATACCGGTGTCCTCGCGTGCAGCTTGGTGTGCGCAGATGAAGTAGTTGTCTCAACATCGGGTAATCACCCAGATGTAATATCCGGTGCGTCATGATGAGACAAGGTTGCCCGCTGCCACCTTTCCTCTTCAACTTTGCTATTGATGAAGTCATAGAAACAGCGTTCGCTGGACACGATCTAGAAGGGGTGGAGCTACTCCCTAGTGAGCGACTTCTTGACTTGGAGTATGCGGACGATATTGCCCTAATCTGTGACAGCTCCTAAACATGCCAAACAGCACTGGACCGATTAGCACTGGCTGTCAATCGTTTTGGGCTATGCTTTGCTCCATCGAACTGCAAAGTACTTCTCCAAGATTGGCAGGGATCCAACCCTACGCTAACGCTTGACGGTGTTCTGCTAGAAGTCGTTCAGGAATTGAAGTACCTGGGCAGCTATATTAGTACCCTTGGGATTGTAGATTAGGTTACGAGCCGTATAGCAAAAGCTCGAGGTGCTTTTGCCAATCTCCGCCACCTGTGGCGCAGACGCGACATTACCCTCGCCTTGAAGGGCAGAGTTTATAACGCAGCCGTTCGTTCAACTCTCCTATATGGCTGTGAAACCTGGCCCATCAGATCCACAGACATAAAGAGGCCCATCACATTCGATCATTGCTGCCTTCGCGGCACAACTGATGTCCGGTGGGAGCACCGCGTGAGCAATGTGCGTGTTCGGCGAGTGAACCGCTCAGCACCATTATATCACGCCCCAGACTCCGATGGTTGGGCCACGTGTTGCGCATGTAAGCACACCGACTTCCGCGACGTGCACTGTTTGCGCGTTGTGGGTGCGGTTGGAAGAGGAGGAGAGGGGCCAAGCGATGACTTGGTCGAGAGAGATGAAAACCCTCAGTTTGAAGTTGGCGTCGGTTGCTGCATCTCGACTGCCTGGCTGGGGTCCTAAGAACGGTGAACACGTTTGGTTGGACACACTTACTGAAATGGCTTGGAGCCCGCCCCAATGGCGCTTGTGTCGTGGGTTCCTTTGTCCATCCCCCTCCTGCTTAGCATCCCCTTCCGATCACGATCTTACTTGTCAGGCATAATATGACTCTCTTTTGCGGCAGCCAGCTGTTAGCTCTCCGGAACGATGTCAATCCGTTACTGGGGACTCAGCTGACGTGCCGCTGTTTGTTTTCCTTTTCTTGTCTTTTGTATTACGGCACAATAGCTGAGGTGTTTTCCACCTGCAGCTAACGTGTATAATGACGACGAAACTGAGACTATGCTCACACCACCATCCGGTTCACATCCTTCCGGTATTCCTTGGGCATAATAATGAAAAACAAGTATTATTATTGTGAAACAAGTTTCATAGAACTGGTCAGTCCAAGCGCTGTCGAATCAACTTTGCTCATGGATTGCATTCTGGCCCAAGGCAATTTTAGCACCATTTGCCGTGCACCAATGTAGTCCAGAAATCAGTGATAACAATGAATACGTATATTAACAATAACAGCATAAAACGGTGGTAGGTCCGTTAACCAAGATGAAATACTCAAAGTGCCTGCCGGCGTTCTGCTTGCAGTGCGGAAATCGGCTGAGACAAAACGCTATAACTTGTCGCAAGTTTCCGTGTTGATGGAGAAACATTCAGCGTTTCCAGTAAAATAGGCGTTTTCTTGCAAACGCTTCTTTTCAAATAACCCTTAGGAAGGAATGTACAGAGATCAAATCTGGTGACCGAGCAGACCAATCATTTGGACCTCTGCGACCGATCAACCTGTGACCGAACACTTCCTTAGAATACCTCCGCCCCGTCTAAGCATGATGGGTAGTGCACTATATTGGATCTATAACCGCTGAAGCGAAGTCAGTAATATGGCACACCTGCCTATTAAGAACAAACTGGGCAGAGTTACCTTAAGGGAGTTTTCGTTCGCCGGTGGACCGGTCGCAGGGGTCCAAAGGATTGGTCTTCCTGGTTACCG